TTTCCCCACTGTCGTGCAAATATTGCAGTGCAAAGATCTGGTTAGTGAAGTATTTCTGAGTTCCGAACATAGGTTTTCAGCTGCTCTCTTTGGGCTAGTCATTGATCGGTTTCGAAGTACGTAACTCTGTTAAAATAACTCGGTCGCCCAATGCTTTTCATAATAATTTTACTGCTTACAAACCTTGGTTAACTTCTAACTTTTCCTTCTAACTTTTCTTTTTCCTTCAATTTTAATTGAACTTCCTTCAATAACTTCTAACTTTTCCTTCAATTTTAAGGAAATATCTTAATTTTGGTTCTAATAAGTTTTGGCTGTTGTAACTTTGTAGCATCAAAAATATTTTCAGGAAATACTGACATTGTGCAGTTTCATCATGTAATGTGCAATCTGCTGGTAACTGATAGCAGAGAAACTTACATAAATACCAGGTTAGTTGATTTCTGATACTATATTACAGACGGGAATATTTGAACTATTCCTTTCTTTTTAAATCTTTTTTTCATTTCATGGATACTGAATCAATAAAAACTTAACTGTTCGTTGCATATAATGAAATGATCTCATGACTAGATATGACAGAATGATTCGGTCTCTTTCGGAAGACTTGGTATGACAGGTAACGTAACTAAAATTTTGTTACTAAAATATTACCACTACTAAATAATGACAAGGTCTTCCACAAAGATCTTTATTATTATTTTTTTCAAGTTAATAAATAATTTCCTATCAAATGTTTGCATGAACAGATTCGGCACGTTAGAACATTTCTTCGCCTGGACATTGCTTTACCAATGTGAATCACAGACATCAGGAAAGCTTGTCCTTCGATCTTACGACAAACGACCGTATTTACTGGTAACCGACTTTTGTTGTCGTTTTGTTGCCGTACTGGCGAGGAATTGCTATGGTTTTTTAATTTTTTCAATAAATTTATTCTAATCTGAAGATTTGGTTATTGGATTCATATGTTGTGATATCACAAGGCGAACTGATCGAAGCTGAAGCTGAAGCTGAGGAAAATAATAGATTGGTTTACTCATTCCCAGCATTAAAAATGCTTTACAAGGTATCGATTAGAAATATTTCAAATAAGAACATTTCTAAAACATAAGTATAGCAGTTGTATTCAAGTAAAAGAAAAATTACTTGGAGAATTGATATTTTAGGTCTTGTAGTTTCAGTTTTTTTTTCATTAGTCATTTTCCATCCCAAAATTTACAATATTCTAAAATTTAAGATATTTGATGCTGAATCAGCTAAAACAGATCCACGTGCGAACGGTGAGGATGCCAGTGTGGGTATACTAGACATACCATTAACATGTTGTGTGAAATTAACCGAAATGTTGCTTGAATCATCACTAGCTTTACCTCCGACTGGACGAAGTGTCGGCCAGTTTTACGTATGTTTTTAATGCTACTTATATAATTGATTTAAGATAATCCAAATGCATCAAAAATTATTTCGATTTGAATTGATTGTCATTCATTATTTAAATTTAAACAGTTTTCATATTTAAATTGTTCATTTTGCTCTAAAATTTTAATGGATTTTCAGGTTGGGTTTTTGAAATTAAGAAAATGTGATGGATTAATGAATTAAAAATAGCCGCAATGCGGAAAAAAACAAATATTTTCACAAAACGTAAGTTTCTCATCATTTTATACTTATACATAAGCAATGGATGGCTAGTGTTATGAATATAAAATGATCAATATTTACAATATTGTAAAAGTTTTGTTTCAGAAACACTTCTTAAGATATTTCTTATTCGTTGTAAAAATGTAGGTACTGATATTATCCTTATGGAGGTTGGAGGTTAATTCGTTGCTTCCAGTTATTATTTCATTACTACGGGCAATTTAGTATTTTGGCACGATAGGTTATCACAATAATTTACTCTTAAATAACTTACTACTACTCAAAACGGAAAAGGAATGTTTGAAATTGTGATAGTTTCGAACCAACATTAGCAAAATCCAATCTTGCAATTTTCTTTTCTTTTTTTTTTATCAGCAGCATATAAGCTAGAAAATCTCTGTTGAGAAAAATTGAACTTTATGCTGCTTGGCTGAATTTTTGTGAGATAATGAAGTTTAAAGAGCATTTTTTTTCTTGATTGAAAAAAAAATTCTGATTGAAAAAAAATTCTAAAAAAAGTTTTTTTGAGAAAAAAAATTTTTCGGTTGAAAAATCGTGCCGTATAGTTTGCGGGAGAAAAAGATGTAAAGAAAAACTGAAAAACCGGGGATAACATATAATCTCAAATTTAAAATTTCTTTGACCAAAATGCTTATTTCATTGTTTCGTCTTATTTTTCTAATTGATACCTCTCTATTTTGGTGCTCTTTGTTCTTTCAAAAAAAGAAAAAAAGAAAAAACAAGCTTATTTATTTTGGGTGTACTGTATTTGCTATAATGCGTTGTAAATAAAAGTTTTCGCAAAATTACAATATTGAACATGTAAATTGTATGAGTTGAAATAAATTTGAAATATTTCTTGCAACAAGACATACTATAGTAAGATATCGGAAAGTTTGAAGAATGGTACATTGTTCATTTTTTCTTTTTTTTTGAAATCATTACAGTTGATATCACATAATTTAAAAAAAATAACTTAGCATACATGGAATAGATCAAGGGTATTCCTTTCCTGGATGTATTTATTCATAAGTGAAATTTGAATTTAGGAAAAGAAGGCAAAAGTAATTTTGACATCAAAAATTTAAACAGATGTAAGAAGCACTACACTGCTTCTGATATCAAAGATCAAAGCAATATTTTTCTCTCAAGCGATGTGGTAACTAGTGAAGATAGTGAATGTTGTCGTCACTAAGGTGAATAAGGTAGAACTTATTAGTTTCCGGCTTTTCTGAAAAAAAAAATTATGCATAAGTGTTAATTGTTACAATTAGTTAAATATATCATTGTTAACTAAGCCTTAAGATAATGATCATTTCCACAATTAGATCAAGGGAACGATTTTAATAAAAAAAGACAGTTATCTTTGACTGACCAAATTACAAGATAATCATTTCATGGCACTAAAAGCCATCCTGTTTGTAATTTTTCATTCCTAATTTTAAAGGAATTCATAATTTTAAGCTTAAAATTAAGACGTACAAAAGAAGTATCTCATGACAAATGAATCCTCATGACAAATGAAAGACAAATTAGGAAAAGATTGGATAAAAGAGAGAGGACGAAAGTTCATTAAGCTAAATTTATTAAGTGTAAATTAAAGAATGAATATTTGGATGAAAATATACCTTCGTATATCCCCATGGATAGCCGTGTTCGATAAATTGACAATCATTTGGTATTTGCCAATTGGCATTATCCGATAATGGAATTGGTCGTGGTAGTTTAGTACAATTTTTATAAACCCAGCATTTTATTATATTTACAACCTATAATGCTTGTCATTTAAATTCAATTGCTTTTTGGATTATTTTCAAAAAATTTGTAAAAAAGGAACAACAATTTTCAGTATAATAATTCCTCCAATGCAACAATTTTTTAATTTGCCATATTTCGATTAAATTATCAAAATTAGTTAAGCTATTATTGTTATTATTATTATTATTATTGTTAATTATCGTTATTACTACTATTATCATTATTATTATTATTAATTATTATTATTAATTATTATTATTAATTATTATTATTAACTATTATTATTATTATTAATTATTATCATTATTATTAATTACTATTATTATTAATTTTGTTTTTCTCTTTGTTTTTGTTTTTTTTTTTTTAAATACAACCTGGAATCGTTCATGTGTCACAGATGGTGGGTCACACGTGTTGGGTGTACGGAAATCAAGATGATGCGCTGCACCTAACATATAAAAAATATAAACACCATTTTTCATAGCTTCCATAATACCAGGTGAATTTTCATAAACACCACCAGCAGACCATGGATCTAAGTTACCATTCCTAAATAATTTAAAATATTGTTTAAAAAATTTTTCTCCATCTTCAATTTTATCGTTTATTAATTAACATGCAATTATGTAAATAGTCTTATACATTAATTTATTATAAAATTAATTATATGAATGATAAACTTACGAAAATATAATATTACTTGTAGTATTATATATCATTCCATAGCGTATTGTTACATCATGAAGTTTGTAGAAATTATTATTATAACCAATATCTTTGAATAATTCTGTGCAAAGTTTAATATTTGTACTGACTGGATCACCGGAATTATCACAAGTATTCAGAAAGAAATCATTATCACCACCTCGATCACAAATTTGTATTGTCAATGAGGTACAGGACTGCAAAAGTTAATGAATTATGATAATTTATATATTTTACATCGTTTAATTATTTATTTTTCTATCAAAACAAACTTCTATTGTTTGTCTAACTGCATGAGTGAAATTTTAACAATACACATCTATTCTATTTTACAGTATCTAACACAGTGCCTAACACAGGCAGGCACAGTATCTTGTACAATATCTTCTAGTTTACATGCATAAATAGGAAATATATAGTAGCTAAAATTATATAATCTAATTTACTCATCTTTTTATTAAAATAAAACTTTGCTTGTTTGTTAGATTGCATCAATGAATTTCAAATTACCAATATATATATATAGATATCTGTTCTGTTTCAGTATCCAATACAGTATCTTCCAATTTTATGCATGTATAAAGTATGTACAGTAATTAGAAAAATTGCATTAGATACTGTATCTACTACTATATTCTCATTTTCACAATGGTATCTAAGAGATACTACATTAAGCTTACCTGCCAATTCCATGCAATATCTTCGTCATCATTTTGGATTGGTGACGGTGTTGTACAGTTGCTTGTGAAACAGTTATCAGTAAGTTGTCCTGTATAATTGTAGTAAACATTGATAATACTGTATATTTGTTCAGCCAAATTTTCCTCATTTGTTGCAGCTTTTTTAGCATATTGACAGACATACTAAAAAAATAAAAAAAGAAAGGAATCAAAAAAAAAAAATTGAATCATTGTTATTTGTGAATTTATTTAAAAATAAAACATTAATAAATTTTAAATTGAGGATATTATTAGCATTTGAAAATTATTTCATATTAGAACAAATAAAGTCTATTAATTATTCATTAATTTAATTCAATAAAGTTAAGGAATTGCATGAAAATTTTGAAATGATCTGGAAATTTTCTCAAATTAAATTCATATTAATCAATATTTGGAAATTTATATTCTACAAATACTATACGTAGAAGTAATATATATGTATATCAATACATTTGTTTACATGAAATCAATGTAATGGATTCAGTTAATTATTATTATACCTTAACCGGATAACCGGGTAAAGGTTCGAAGAAATCAGCCGGATATGGATAATCAGTCATAGCCATGTAAAAAATAGCAGAATAAATATATGAATAAAGACTCATAAAATCATTATAGCTTTTCATTTCAAAACCTGGTTTTGCATGAAATATTCGATTTAATTTCATTCGACCTTCTTCTGCAAACAAAATGACTTATCACAGATTTGTCATCAGAAAAATTTATCATAGAAACTTTTTTGGTGATATTAAAAAAGACATTAATTATTTTATAATTAGCCTCAGCTAGTAAGAAGAAGCATAACTTCAAGGAAAAAAAATGGAGAAGGAAATCCTCGTTTTATGATTTTATATTTGTTATGTAATCCGTAAACCGAATTGAACTTTGAAAATGAGAAAATAAAACTTTAAACTTTATTTAATTCCTTTTTCTTCTTTATATTTTTTAATTTTTTCATAAAGTTTGTTTATTAAAAGATAAATATTACAAATGTTATCAGCACATTCTTGATATCACTTTGCAAGGCAATTATCTAGAAGAATTAGTCTGAACATAACAGGAATTTGTTCTAATTTAATGTTACCTAATTAATGAATCTTTACAAGATTAATTTCCAATTTTCTCCGGAATTTATCCAGTTATTATGAATGTAATATTCCATGAACAAATTTTCAATTTATTTTAGGATATAATTTGTGCTTTTATATTAATTATTTCAATTCATTAATAACTTTAGTGTAATAACTTTCATAATATCGTATGGCTTATTTCATTAGGCTCATCCTATATCTGATCATGAGATTAGAATTTACAAGTAATAATTGTTCGTTGATCATTTTAAGCACAATTTTCTATTCTTCATCAAGGTGATGAATCTTTAAACGATAATCATCATAATCATATAGAATATTCTCCAGAAAATACTTAAAAACGTAAAAAAATTTATTTGGTAATTGTATGGATATTTTTTCGTTTACCTTAGGTTGACAGACAATTTGGCACAAGCAAAAAATTCCCAAATAAATTTACTTATCTTATGCAATGTGACAAATCTGCTTCAATTGATTACTAGTAATCATGAGGAGTTGAAAAAAAAAAAATCTAAAAAGACAAACATCTGAGATGAGAATATGCAGAGAATACGGTAGGATTAGAAAAAGTAATAAGCCATGTTTTTCTTTTCTATTTTTAACAATACATATTAATGCTTTTTGCGTTTGGTAATAAAAAATGCACCGAAGAATCTTTTCGTTTCATTATTCTCAAACTATTTGCAGATTCTTATGATGTATCGTATAAGAAACGTCAAACACTGTACGTAGAATACAGAGAATATTGTATGTAAGTGAGGAATACTGTAAACGAAGTGAAAATATTGAGGAATTCTGCTGCAGTAATATTTGCATATATGCATGATACTAAAATCCTTACAATTAATGGATTAATTTTTTAATTGAAAGCAGTTAAATGACCTGTTTTTGACATTTTCTCAATTGCAACGAATCCATCTGAAAATACTTTCCGATCACATCCGCTTGTTAAATAATTAGTTGTTATTGTCCTACTCACACTTTCTGGATTTATACCTGTTCCATAGAAAATTCTTAACGGTGCTGATGATGCCCAAGCTCTAAAATATTTCTAGAATTTATATTGAGGAAAAAAAAAATCATAGTTAAAATTCAATTTCATCAATTTTTTTTAAACTATTAAATGCTTTCCCAAATCTAAAAGATTTTGACAGTAAATTTATAAGTATTATTATCAATCTTTATGAGAAGCCTATCAAATGGATTAAAATATATTTCAAGCTGAGTTCTTTTTTTTCATTAATAAAAAGGACGAAAAAATATAAATAAATTACTCCTAAAATACTTATTTCAGATTGCACGTATCACGTATGTTCTATTGAATGATTCATACAATTTCCGTGAACAATTATGAATTAATATATGTATAAAAATTTTTTACGTACCTTCACACAATATTCTTCTTTCAGTCTTTTTCGTTTTTTTTTTTCTTTTTTTTGGAAACAAATTGTGAAAACATATGATATACGCAAAAGAAAAAAGCCTTAATACCCATCTACAATATGTGGATATTTCATACGTAACCATGCGGCAAGCATGCCACCATATGAACCACCGAATACGATAACCGGTATTTCGGTACCCATCGGACAAAAGCCAAGTTCTTTTTGATCAGTTTTTAGAAATGAAATCAATTCCGCAAAATCAGCCAATGCTTGGATCTCATTCAAATATCCCAAACGTAAAACATCCTAAAATTTGCTAAAAATCAATGTGAAACAATTTGTGATATATGTTATTTACATTTTCTGCTTTGTTTTTTCTGTTTTTTTTTTT